ATGAATGGTTTTATTGAAGTTGCTAAAAGATACGCTTTGATTAAGCAAACAAATGATATATATTGTCTCCGTTGTGACTGTCAGAACCGTATAGTATGCCATCATTCAAATACGATAAAATCACACTTAGTAAGAAGGGGTTTCATGGAGAACTACACGATTTGAGATCATCATGGTGAGAGATGTTTAGAAGCAAGCAACAAGGAAGTGATTGCACCAGAAGTAAGGGCAGATGACGGTGTCCATCTTGTCATGATGCATGATGGTATGGGAGATGACGTTGCAAAAGGTGGTAGTGGCGAAGGCTGTGGTGGGGAGGATGATGGTGAAGACAACGAAGAAGAGGAACAAGAAGACTTTCTAGAGGACCGAATTACTATTGAAGGCTACAAAATGGCAAAATAACTTGGAGACGCTAAAGAAGGCAAGGAAAGAATGTATGTATGAGGAGGCAAAGGGTTGTGAGAAAAGGTGGTCATTGCTACATTTTATGCTAGACATGCTGATCTTCAAGGCTAAATATGGTTGGTCCGATAGGAGCTACAATGACCTATTGACTCTCTTGGTTGCTCTACTTCCTAAACCAAACTCTATGCCTGCCAATACATATCAATCAAAGAAGCTTATCAGTCCATTAACGATGGGTGTGGAAAGAATACATGCGTGTCCAAACCATTGAGTCCTTTATTGTGGGACGTTTAAAGACCTAACGAAATGTCCAACCTATGGTGCTAGTCGATACAAAAGGAACGACAACTTTAGTGAGGAAGACAGGGGTACTAGAACTAGGAACAAGAGAAAGAGGGGTGGAAAGAAAAATGTCGCTTCTTAGAACCATGAGGAAAACACTAACTTAGCAGTTGATGGTACTGACCAAAGAAGAATCCCCGCATTGGTTATGTGGTATCTATCACCAATCAATTGCTTGAGGCGTTTGTTCTCAAACCCAAGGCACCCAGAGCTCATGCGATGGTGGGCTTCGGATGAGCACAAGAAATACGATGGAGTGCTACGTCACCATCTAATGCAAAATAGTGGAAGGACATCGATGCCAAGTATCCAAAATTTCATGAGGATCCTAGAAACGTAATGTTCACTTTGAGCACTAATGGAATGAATCCTTTTGGTGACCGGACCAGCACACATAGCACATGGCCAGTTATCCTATCGATTTACATTCTCCTTACATGGTTGTGTCAGAAGAGAGTATTTGTTGCTGACCATTCGAATATTAGGGCGGAAAGCACCGGGCATCGACATAGATATTTTTCTTGAGCCGTTGATGCAAGAAATGGAGACACTATGGAAGCATTGAGTCAAAATATGGGATGAGCTTGAGCAGAGTACCTTCACATGCAAAACCATTATTTTTGTTACCATTAGTGACTACCCAGCATAGTTTTCTCTTTTAGGACGGATCAAAGGCTTCCTAGGATGCTTGGAATGCTTAATTGACATTGTAGCTCAGTTCCTACATGAATCCCGAAAGGTAGTGTACATGTGTCGCCGACGCTTCTTAGTGGAAGGACACAGGTACCGAAGCAATAGGATGATGAAATACTTCATTGGTAGTAATATTGAGATAGAGGATATATGCGCCAGAGAGGCGGGATGGGCATTACATGTATAACATGGTCAAGAACATCAAAGTCACCTATGGTAAAAAGAAAAAGGATGGAAATATCAATAAGAGATATGCGGCTTTGATTGACGGTGTGCCATTCAAGAAGATGTCAATCTTCTTTCAGTACCTGCCTTACTGGCCAGATTTGGTCGTGCACCATTCCATCGACGGCATCCACGTCACAAAGAATGTAATCGTTCATGGTGGAGTCAGTAGCATTTGTGCGGTCATCACCGACATATGATCAACAGATGCAATCGCTCATGGAGGAGTCAGTAGACCTGCAAGACCCAGGGTACTTAGGAGACAAATTTCAACAAGAGATGTTCGACATCACTACAGGGGTGAAAGAACCTAGGTTCGAGGCACCAGGCACTACAAGTCTCACATGTGGCAATGAAGAAGCACATCATGATCAGATCCAGGCAGGAAAATAACAGGTGTTAGGGGGGCAGCTATCCTCCCTACCTCTCCAGTCTCCACAATCATCGGTCAGTGGTTGGAGTGTCGTGGGTAATCATTTATAACCCTCACTAGGGAGTTAGCCCATCTCCACTCTCCACATGCTATCGCTCTATCCGATCTTTCTCTAATATAGCATGTTGCCCTGTGGTGGTGATTTTGCCAAGTGAATGCATCACCCACAAAGCCCAGATCCCGCAACCTGCATTCATCTAGTGTTCTCCTAAACTTCTCCATGCAGATTTGGCTTTTTGGTTGACCTCCTTCCTTCTCATGCTGAACAACACCTCACTGAAATCACCATACGTAGCCATGACTTCTTATATTTGTTCTTCAAGATACACAAAAGTCTCCATGTTTTGTCCTTCTCTTCCACTTTGGGTTTGCCATACATACCTGTAAACCTTCATTCTCTTCCCCCATCTTCCTTCACTACTGCATCAATATAATATATTGACAAACTTTTTACATCCAGGTTAACTTCTTTACTACAAAAAAGGGCCAGACCCCCACTCAACCCTTTGCAATTCTTCACCATCAAGTTAGGCATACTGAGTATCCATCTAGATCTTTCCAATCTCTTCTCGTCCATTTTTGTTTTAGAGAGGAAGAGAATATCAGAGGCTTCCTGCTTTTGGAGATCTACAAGCCCACGAACTACTAAGGCATTCCCCAACCCTCGGTAGTTCCATGATATAACCTTCATTTTGTTAGGCAAGGTTGTCCCGACAGCCTCGCCTTTGGGGCAGTTCGGTGGGTGTGAAAACCAGTCGGATTTCACTATGCTTGGCTGGTTTTCGCTGTTCGCTCTCTCATAAATTCCTTCAGATTCATCCAAATTTCTCCACATTTCTCCAAGCGAACAGGGCCTTTATAGTATAAAGCTCCATTCCTGTATCATCCTCTTCTATCACTTCAACTCCATCATTAAAACCTTCAAGCAATTTCAACTTTTTGGACTCAGATTGTCAACCTCAATCTCCACAGGTAATTGGCGCTTGCGTTCAATTACCCCAGCTTGTTCTGTTCCGACAACCAGCATCGACTTCCTATCATCCCTCTTCCTTCAGTAAGTTCCTTTCTTCTCAGTCCTATGATCAGCAGGATCCTCGATGGTGTGCACATCTTCAAGCTGCTGCCCCGGAATGAACGTTGTCTCATCAATCAATCCATCGACCATCAAAACATGAAGTTTTTCATTGAAATCCCTATGCCCTCCTGTCTGCTCAATGTCCATCTCATTTCTCCCATAGTACTCCATGTTTCATTTATTTAGCTACTTGTCCCTTTACTAAGTACTCCCTCTGATCCGTTTTCTAACGCGTTCTCCTGTTTTTCTAAAAGGCCGATATGTAGGGCGTGTGGTGATTCCAAGACGTTCGTCCACTGGATTCGAAGCAACTAGCAGGGCCTCGTTTAGATTGAAAAAAATTTCAACATGATGAATAGTAGCATTTTCGTCTTATTTAATAAATATTGTCCAATTGTGGACCAACTAAGCTCAAAAGATTCATCTCGTAATTTCCAACTAAACTGTGCAATTAGTTATTTTTTTATCTATATTTAATGCTCCATGCAAACGACTAAAAATTAATGTGATGAGAGAGAGTGAAAAAACTTGGAATTTTGAGGGTATTTAAACAAGGCCCAGCTATGATTTAACACGCGCACTATTTCTCAAGCGAGCATTACATGTGGTCTTAACTCTCCCTTGAATCCTGGACGTATAGAAAGGCACCAGCTAGTCGCACGCTACTTTTCACGAAGCGTTCCTGCAACCGCATGCACCTTGATATGATAGCACGCTACTTTTCACGAAGCGTTCCTGCAACCGCATGCACCTTGATATGATAGCAAGGGGCTGGATTAATTTCTTTCTTGGTATCTGGAATCAACCTCTTTGTGCCTTAGAAAACGGACCGGAGGGAGTAGATTTTTGTTAGTTTAGTCTGACTTAACTCCCTTATCTCATTAACCATGCCTTTATCTCTGCCAACCAGTCCCTAGTTTTTCATAGTAGCTCCATCTACCTCCTCAATAAAAAACTAGCCCCTATGATACTCCTCCCTTTACACGGTTACACCTTGTGTCGACATTTTAACTGGGCTGGAAGATTCCTCCCCTTTCATTGAATCATTACTGTTCTCGCACTATCTGGGATTGATCTCTTTGCGAGGCTTTTATCTGTATACCCTTAAAAAAGATGCCACACTCCTGCGTATCTCTCAAAAGTTGATCGTCACCTACACGCCCTCGCTCGAACTTTTCTTTTCCCTCACGCCATTCCGTCGGCATTTGCTCCTAACGGTGGGTAACGGCTCTGGAGAATGACTCAGTTGTCCTTGGGCTTGTATGGGTGTCTGAATTTTTTCGTTTCCCTGTGCCATTGCCAGGCCAATTGGCTTTGGCGCAGAGAATCTACCGATACGTCTGTGTAAGTTTGTCCGGAGAACAGTAGATGTGCTGCGCATACACTACAGCTACAGCTACATTGTACGTTTCACTTTCACCCACCAAATACTTGAATTACACATGCCAATGATACATAGAAACACAGGCGTGTTTTGGCGATTTATGCATATACGTTTTTGTATGCGTTAGAATGGTATGATGACTATACCATCCGCAGCCATATGCCTGTGTACCCACTCCGGTCCAAGTATGTCACCGTCTCTCGCACTGCAGCACAGCTTTTGTGCTTTGTCGTTGGTCCATCCATATGCACACACTCTCAACTCTCTCAAGTGACCAAGCATGCAGCTGCAGCTGCTCACACACGTTGCTAGCTTAGCTAGCTCCGTTGCTCGCCATCGCCAACTACTAATACTACACACTCGCGCACGCACATACAGCAGCAGCCGAGAGCCTCGAAGAGCTTTGCGCGCGCGCCCCGCCGCCGCCACCAGCAGCAGCCATGAAGTCGTCGTCTCAGACTCAGAGCCCGAAGACCCCATCGCCCCGCGGCGGCATGGGCAGCGCCGAGCACGGGCGCTCGGCCTCGGAGCCGTGGCTGGTGGCCGCGGCGGCGGCGAGCGCCAGCGACGACTCGTGCGTCAACGACGTGGACAACTTCGCGCGCACCGTGGCGGCCGTCAAGTCCAAGGCGGCGTCGTGCGCGCGCCCGGACATGCTGGCGTCCGTGCTGTCGCACTACGCGGCCAAGTGGCTCTCGGACGTGGCGCCGCCCCTCGCGTCGTCGTCCGTGTCCGGACGCTTCCTGCCCCCGGAGAGCCCCACGACCACGTGGCTCAAGAAGGGGCTCCTGCTGGAGTCCCTCGTCGCCGCGCTCCCGCCGGACCCTCCAGTGGCGGTCGCCGACGGCGGCTGCTGCGCCACCGCCGCGGCCGTCGCAACCGACGACGGCATCACGTGCGACTTCCTGCTGAAGCTGCTCCGCGCGGGGAGCATGGTGGGCGCGGACGCGGCGCTGCTGCGGGACCTGGAGGCCCGGGCGGCGCGGCGGCTGGACCAGGCCACGCTGGGCGCCGTGATGATACCGGCGTTCGGGCACGCCGGGGACCACGCTTCGTCGGCGCTGCTCCTCGACGTGCCCCTTGTGCTGCGCCTCGTCCGCGGGTTCCTCAAGGAGGGCGCAGCAGCAGGCGCCAGCAAGGCCAGCAGCGGCGCCACCATCATTGGCGGCGGCGGCCGCGAGGGTGGCCAGGCTCGTGGACGCGTACCTGGGCGAGGCCGCGCTGGAGGCCGGCCTCCGCCCCGCCGAGTTCGAGGAGCTCGCGCGCGCCGTGCCCGCACACGCGCGTCCCGCCGACGACGCGCTCTACCGCGCCGTCGACACCTACCTCAAGGTGCGCATGCGCTCCCGTCACACTCCTTCGGTCCTTCCCTTTCCATTCCTGGTTCCTCCTTGTCCTTGATTGCACTCCATGACTCTCGGTGGCACACCATGCGCGCGTGCGGCGTGTGCTCGCCGAAAAGGCCACGGCCACGAACAACATAGCCGCGTCTTCGTGTCAGTGACTGAAGGAGATGCGGCCCATGTCAGTGACCCAGAGGGTAAGGAGGGTATTTTTTAACTCGGTCCCACATATCAAACCTAACAGAATGCCGACGGAATGGCGTGAGGGAAAAGAAAAGTTCGAGCGAGGGTATATAGGTGACGACCAATTTTTGAGAGGTACGTAGGAGTGTGACATCTTTTTTAAGGGTACATAGGTAAAAACCGTATCCTTCCATTCCTGCCTTCTACCAGTACCTTGACTGCGCTCATATTTACTTCCTCCTAACCACTCCCTCGCCCTTGTCCTTCCTCCTGAAAGCATCATCGAGAAGGTATTACCCACAGCTCACTGCTAAAAGGTTTCTTCTTTACACGCCAACCACCAGCATCACAATATTTGTCAGTATGTCATAGCAACCCACAAATATAGCAAAAGTTCGGCAAAAACTCATACTGCAGGGGACACTAGATTTTCTCCCCCTCTTCATTCACATCCACAGTTACACCCCTCAAGAGTGGCTTCGGCACATCCAGCAAGACTTTCACCCTCAAAAGCAACCCAATAGCTAATTCATCTTCGTCAGCATCCACCTCCAAAGTAGATCCTTTGTTGTCACCAATAGCCTCCCCAGTATCCTTAGTCATCATACAGAAAGAGAGATTGAACACTCTTACCCAACATGGAGTTGACAAAAATTCCAATTCATCTAGACGGTGTTTGAAGGGTGGGCCTGGTGCAAAGCAGTAGAGTCTTACCGTCTGTGATCGGAAGGTTCCGGTTCGAGTCGTGGTCTTCTCGCATTGCACAGGCGAGGGTAAAGCTTGCCACTAACAACCTTCCCTCAGATCATGCACAGAGCGGAAACTCTCTGCACTAGGTACGCCCTTTATCCAGACGGTGTTTACCATCAAATTCTCTAACAATGAATAAATCACGGCCAAATTCCCAAGGACCCTCCTCTACAGCCCTCCTTTTCCCTACCTGCTGTAGGAAGCTATTCAAGAACAAGTTATTTCCAAGCTCCCTACACTTAATACCTTTAATCTGGCACTAGATCCTCCCTAGAGTTTGAGCTATTCCATCTGCATGCCCAGGCATTTCTACAAAAAGCTTCTCTACCACCCGTGTATCTGTGCTGCATCCTTCCTTTGATTCCAACCAAACTCCCTTGATTCCTCTTCTTTCAGCCTCTGAGAGGCGAAGCCCACTAACCTTGTTTAGAATAGACTCCTCTCCTCCCATCTGCTTCGCCATGAATCTGCCTCCGCGCGGTGCGCTCTACCAGGCTGGTAGGAGCAGCGCAAAAAGAATCACTGGATGGGTGTGGATTAGCAAGAAAGAGAGGGGAAGTGGAACAGAAATGGATTGCTGGAAATCTAGATGGATTCGATGGATTTGGATTTGGGAACCACTCGAAGCTACAGTGGCTCGAGACCCACTTTGAGTCGCCAAGGCTCTCAAAGGAACCAGACAAACAGAGACGGGTAAATTATGGAAACCCTCAAACCTCCGACATTGACCTGCACAAACCTCCAATTTGAGAGAGAAAAATCAAGATTGTTGGCAAAGCTTTGAGATTTTGGAACAAGATCCTCGGGGATATATTCACTATGCTCTAGGGAAGATGTGTGCAAAGTTTCAAAAAATTTTGAGGTCGTTTGATCGAATTTTGGTCTTTTCCATCTTGTTTTATAGGCTATTTTCTGGTTGTCTCGGAACTTCCAACCCTCAAACCTCCGACATTGACCTGAGCAAGTCAGAACTTCCGACTCCAACCTCCGACCTTTGCCTGTTAAGTGATGTTTTCGAGTTTGGTTTTCCTTAGGCTTTCCCAGCTTTGTACTTAAGCACAATAGCCTAGTCATGGCTATAGGAACTTGAGTTGGCTAAGAACAAAGGGTTTTTGGGATATTTAGGACATAGGCCCAAGTTTCCCCTCGTTCAACAAAGAAATTATTTTGGCTTCCATTCAACCACACAACCTCCCTGTGGTCGCCTTTCGATCCTTCAACCAGTGGTACTTTTTATTTCCTTTGCGTGGCTTTGTCGAATAAACAAAAAATAATAACGTCTCTATCTCCGCCATGATAATCTCATCCCTAAAAACCACCAATCTCTTCTGTCAGCACATATGGATAGTATCATCATCTCATCACTAAAATCAAGAACGGATCTATCCCATCTCACTATGTCGTCAAACCATTCGCAACCATATATTGGTATAGAGTTGTCACATACTCACATCCCAAGAAGATCAACTAGTAGTTTAATTTGAACATGAATTTACAGCTAGCTCAATACAACTACTCCCAATCCGATCCACACGAGAAAGTTGTACACAGAAGCTAATAGGGAACGAAATCGATCCACTCAAAACTGATCAAGAAGTGCACTGCTGCTTGCATCAGCAGGCTTTTAATTCCTCCCAATGCACAGACAGCCTAAAATGAAATCTGATCTGATCACTCGCAGCTTGAAAGTGACCTCAAGTTAAACCATGCATACCAATCCATGGATCGGCGACTGTTTTTTCACACCGGAGAATCTGTATCGGCGCCTGTACTATTCGGCGTATCCGTATGATGCTGAATTTGCTGATGCAGTGGTAGGTTGGCGGTTTGCGCTGGCTCCTCCGGCGGCGCAGCCTCGGCGAGGACGGTAGCGCGGCAGAGCGGGCAGGTGGTGTGGAAGCGGAACCACGTGTCGACGCAGCGCACGTGGAAGCGGTGGCCGCACCGCGGCAGCAGGCGGCCCTCGTCGCCGTCCGCGAACTCCGCGATGCAGATCGCGCACTCGGCCGCCGCCGGCCCGCCGCCTGTGGCGCCGCCACCGCCACCACCGGGAGAGGAGGAGTGGACGAAGACGGGCAGCGCGGTGATGGCCAGCTGCACCTCGCGCCGGTCCCGGGCCTTGGGCGACGCCGGCGGCGACGAGGCCACCGAAGACGCCCCCTCGGCGTCGACGTCGTCCTCGCCGGCGCCGCCCCGCGAGCGCGAGAAGAAGCGCCAGAAGTAGACGTAGACGAGGAGGACGAGGAAGACGTTGAGCGCGACAAGGCACGCCGTGAGCAGCCGCCCGTGTGCCTCCCAGTGGATGCCGGCGTAGGCGGCGGCACCGGCGCGCGGGCTGGGGCTCATGGCCTCATCATCCATTATTCCAAGATCTTGAGTGATGGATCCAGAGGCATGCAACAATTAACCAACGGATGTAGAACGGAACGGAAAGTTAGGGAGATGGATCGATCCAGGAGCTAGCTAAAACGACTAGGATAGTGGCGATGGATATGGGATGGGAGGTGAGACGTGGAGGCGTGGGTTCGTTTATTATAGGAGAGTACTCCTCCTCCTACTCCTACGCTACAGGCGCGAGCGGGGAGGAAGGAGGTGGCGGCTCTTGAGTTCCCTTGCGGCGTAGGCAAGGTTGGGCTCTGGTGGTGGCTCTTGGAGGGGCTGGACGGGCTCGCGGCCGGACGAAAAATCACCAAGCGGATCAGATCAGAATGGAATGGAAGCTGCATATATCATGCATGCATCTAGCTAGAGAGCATCCGGCCGGACAAAGTGTCAAGTGGCAGCCATTTTTTTCCGGGCGAGCGAGAGGTGCAATTTCTTGTGTTGGGGGCCGCCGCCAGATGGAATCGAGTGCGGCCGAACAAATCTGCTGGCGACGTCAAACTGATCTCGGGCCGCGTGCAGAGGCAGGTGTAGGTTGGAGTACCGCCATGGTGTGCGCCCACAGGGTCGTCGTAGTCGTAGCCTGTAGGCTGTACGAGGTGTTTGTTTCTCCTAAACTTTAGTCGCTTATTAGATGTTTAACATATGTATGAATTATTAAATATAGACTAATTACGAAACTAATTGTATACCTTGCGACTAATTTGCGAGACGAATCTTTTAAGCCTAATTAGTCCATGATTTGACAATGTAGTGCTACAGTAAACATATGCTAATGGCGGATTATTTAGTCTTAAAAAATTCGTCTCGTGGAGTACTGACGGATTCTGTAATTTGTTTTTTTATTAGTATCAAACACCCCATACAACACCCTCACGTGACACCTCCTAAATTTTAGTCACCGGATCTAAACACCCCCTTACTAGTTTCAACCCAAACATGCCGGCATTACGTCACATGTTTACTGCACCCACAGATCCATCACCCAGCTACATATTACATGGTCGCGCGGCCCTTACATGGTTCTAGCACATTAGCTACAGTATAAGAAATATCTCCACCGAATCTTCTTTTCTCTTTTTTTACTTAAAAACGATAATAATACAATTAAGACGTGTCCGGACAGATGGACGCCTCCCACCGCTCACTACCGAAAAATTATCCCTCACTTTCTCCTCTCCATTCTTATCCCTTCCGTGCTCGCGCCCCGCCCCACCCCACCCCGACGCCTCCTTCCCCCACCTCGACTGCCTCCCTGGCCGGTGGCGACGTCCTCACCCACCCTGGCGTGCGTGCTCCCCTACCCCGTGCGGCTCCTTGTCCCACCTCGGCGTCCTCACCCACCAGGAGCGCCCAATGCCCATGGATCCGGTGGCTCTCTCTCCTCTCCTGACGGGATCCATGGAGCACAAGCGAGATCCATGGAGGTGGTGTGGTGGTGTTGCAGGGGATCAAGTGGGCGGCTGTCTCCCACACTAGCGTGGTGCCCTTCCCGCCCCGGTGGTGCCCTTTCTCACCCCGGCGACTGAGCTTCTCCACCCCGATGGCTGAAATCGACTGGCCCAGCCTTTCCCTCCCCTATGTTGCATATGTATGTTTCAAGTGTTTGAGGCATTTCAGAGGCATGTTGCAATTGTTTTAGAGGCATGTTGCAAGCGTATATTTCGAGTATTTCAGAGGTATGTTTCATCTGTGTTTTTCAGACGTATGTTGCAAGTGTGTTTATCTAGATATTGCATATGTTTCACACAAACATTGCATGTGTTTTATTTGGATGTTGTGTATGGTTGCAACGGGTTTCAAGTGTTTTGGGTGCTTTTTTCAAGTGTTTCAACTGCCTTCAGACGTATGTTGCAACTGTTGTATTTGGATGTTTCAAAAGTAGATCGGTGTTGCATCTCTCTCCCCACCTTCTGTTGCATCGTCTCAGTGTGTCCCCCTCCCGAATCGGTGCTGTTCTCTCCCCGCCAGGACGCCGTAGCTCGCCGATGCTCCCCTCCCAGCCACCGCGATGATCGGGCATCGTCGCCGCGGAGACCGCCACCCCGTGGCCGGGCACGTCGGTAGCGTTTGTAAAGATTGAATAGCAGACTGCATATAATTTGTAAAAATTGAATAGCAGACTGCATATGATTTGTAAAGATTGACATTATTGCGATCGTACTGCTAATAGGGAATACTATGTTAGCAACGGGATCAGAGAAGGTATTGCTGATTATTGTTGCAACTTCAAACTCTACTAGCAAGCTGTGTAAGAACCAGCGCCTCCCACGCTCACTGACTTCGCCACCTGCTCTGCCTCCTCGCCTAGTGCCATGAAGGGCGCCAAGCGCTACACTACTAAAAATATCCACTTCTATGACGAAAATCTTAATGACAAATCCAAAACCGTCATAGAACATCGCTTTTTATGACGAATATTTATGTTTTGTCATAGATCCGTGGTGACGATCCTTCAACCCTCACTATCTATGACAAAATCAGATATCGTCACAAGAAATGTCATAGAAGAGCACAGGGTTTCATCACAAATCACTCGCGCAACTCATCTATGATGATCCTCTTTAGAACTGTGACAACCAGGGCTTCGTCATTGAACTAATTATACATCTATGATGAAGGTTTCGATTTGTAACGAATGGCACTTCATCATAAATCTCTACACTGTCCTTTCTCCATCCGACGTGTGCCAATGGGACCTACAGTTATTCATCCATAACGCTTGCAATTCGTCATAAAGTCTCCCGCTCGGTCCTTTCTCCATCCAACGTATACCTGTGGGACCATTCACCATGCGACGTGTACCTGTGGGACCTGCAGTTACTCATTCGTGACGCTTGTAATTCATCATAAAAGTCTCCGCTCGGTCCTTTCTCTATCCGACGTGTACCTGTGGGACCGTTTTCCATCCGACTAGTGGGACCCGATGGCTTATGTGTCACGTGTACCTGTGGAACCATTTTCCATCTCCATTCGACCTGTGGGACCCGACGGTTTGCGTGTCACGTGTACCTGTGGGACCATCTAACCTTTGGGACCCGACGGCTTACGTGTCACGTGTACCTGTGGGACTTTTCTACATCTCCATCCAACCTATGAGACCTGACGGCTTGCGTGTCACTTGTTGCCGCCGGGGTTCAATAAATTCAAACTAAAAAAAACCATAAGACCTGGGACTCGAACCCGGGACCCAGAGCAAGGAATAAACCATCTTCACCATTACGCTAGATGCCTGGTTGTGTTGACATGTCTTTGGAGTAGTATATGTTCTCTGTGTGGACAAGTTGACTTATATATTCGATATATCCCCTAAAAGTGGAAACAAATCTGTACCCGTTGGACTTACGGCGACAGCGGCAACGGAGGATCCCTAGTGTGCTGTGGTGGCTCAAGCATCCTTTTGGAGGCTAGGCGGCGGGTCTTCTCGGTGGAGCGTGGTGGCATTGGTGTCCGTGTCCATCGTATGTTGCGATAGAGGCGACAGATCCAATTTGCATGTCTCCTTTCTCATCTTTTCCTGTTCGCTTCACTGTTTTGGTCCTTGCTTGAACATGAGGTATACAAGAAACATTGTAGCATTTTAGATCTGGTTAGGCCAATGATGATGAAAAGAACTAGGAGGTGGCACTGGTTGGTTTTCTACCGATGCGTGTCACTTACAGATCTGTCTAGGCAAACAAATATGCCCTTCGCTTCTGCCTTCAAACTATTTTTTCTGTCCAGTGCTTGCTTGATTCTACATTTCTATTCCGTCTGCTCCAGTGCCACCAGTGAGTCCTTATGATATTTTAAACTTGTAACATATCTGAGGCCACATTTCTATGCCAATGATGTCTACATGGCTGTTGGATGTATTAGGATGCAGCTCATATGTTTGCTTTCTGTGTCTTCTCTTTATTGACAACCAAGTTATCCATTTGGTTCCAAACAAGGTGAAGGCATCGAAAGCAAATCAATGCTTTGTGTCCATCATTCACATGACTGAGGCCACTAATGTCTAAGCTGCACATGTTGCTACTGATGCCAATGATGATCACTACCACTTGTTCACTGACATTCTACTTGTAAAAACTGAGGCAGCCTGTTTGGGTTGTGCAGATTTGAGATGAGTCATCCCTGGTATGTTGTGTTCAATGGCCATGAGCCAGGAGTTTACTACAACTGGCCTGACTGCCTTTGACAAGTTCATAGGTTTCGTGGTGCTTGTTATAAAAAGTACAACTCCTATGAAGAAGGAATTGCTGCCTTCAAGTCAAGAACCAACTCAAATCCAGCCTGAGCTCATGATGATGACTTCTATCTTCAAAACCCAACAGTTGCTCCACCCTCTTTGTCCTTCAAAACTTTGTAATTGTAGTCCTCTTAATCTTTGTCTGTCTTCTATGGAAGATGCTCTGAGCTCGTGTGCTGATTGTAAGTGTGATGGTTAGACTTGATTTAGCGGGAATTGTAATGGTTACAACTCCATTAACGACTACTATAGTTTGAGTTATATATATCTATGTGGTGCTACTCTAAATTTAGATGAGGTCGTACCATGAAAATTGTTAATGGTTGTTAAAGTTGCACTTTGGTATGAGTTGTGGACTTCACTGTTGGATCTTTGTTGGATTATTTTTCTTCAGTGATCTCATTTTATTGAGGAAGCTCTCATCATACTACACACTGACGAAATGAAGGAGGCCCCCAATAAGAGGAACACACTAGCTAGCCTCACGGAGGATGTCATTTTTTTGGATCCTCTGCCGCCTCCCCTCCCACTCCTTGTGCTACTACAAATGTATCTGTCGCTTCTAGAGAAACCTCATCTCAGACTCCAACAACCATAAGAATCTGCCCCAGACTTTGGCTGGCTTCTTCTATGACAGTGAGGATAGCAATCGATACTTCACCAGCATCCTTGGTGTACGCCCCTCCTTGGAATTCTTGCCCTTCAACATTGACAATGTAGCTGTCTCAGATTGATGCAATGGCCAGCT